GGGTCGAGGGGGGGGGGGGGGGGGGGGGGGAAGCCCCTCCCAAACAAACCTAAAAACAAAACCAAAGAGAGAGAAAAGAAAACAATAAATCAAATGAAAAAGCAGCAGTTGGGAGCCAGCTTCGTTAGAACAACTCAGCAAAATAAAATTCCGGTTTATTGTTGGACAACACGGTTTCACACATACATAACAGGCCAAAAAAATTCTTTTTTTTCTTAAAATAAAATAAACAGCAACTTCATAGACAGAAAAAAAACAACAAAAACCAAACCAAAACAAAAAACCCCAAAAAAACCAAAACCCCTTTTTTATCTTTGGCCTTGCCGTCTCATACAAACCACTACCTATAGTACAGCTAAAAAGTACATACACAAAAAAAAGTTACTGGAATGCTCGAAATAAGATTGTAATTTTTTTTTGCATTTTTGTTTTTTTACAAGGTTGGTCATTTTTTTCGCTGTTTTTTTCTTTTTTTTTTTTTTTTTTTTTGTTCTCCCCTCACTTTTTCTTTTTTTTTTTTTTTTTTTTTGTTCTCCCCTCACTTTTTCTTTTTTTTTTTTTTTTTTTTTGTTCTCCCCTCACTTTTTCTTTTTTTTTTTTTTTTTTTTTGTTCTCCCCTCACTTTTTCTTTTTTTTTTTTTTTTTTTTTGTTCTCCCCTCACTTTTTCTTTTTTTTTTTTTTTTTTTTTGTTCTCCCCTCACTTTTTCTTTTTTTTTTTTTTTTTTTTTGTTCTCCCCTCACTTTTTCTTTTTTTTTTTTTTTTTTTTTGTTCTCCCCTCACTTTTTCTTTTTTTTTTTTTTTTTTTTTGTTCTCCCCTCACTTTTTCTTTTTTTTTTTTTTTTTTTTTGTTCTCCCCTCACTTTTTCTTTTTTTTTTTTTTTTTTTTTGTTCTCCCCTCACTTTTTCTTTTTTTTTTTTTTTTTTTTTGTTCTCCCCTCACTTTTTCTTTTTTTTTTTTTTTTTTTTTAAAAAAAAAAAAAAAAAAAAAAAAAAAAAAAGGAAGAAAACCCCAAAACGCGCCGCCTAGTCGTCTTCGTCGGTTTTCTGCTTCTTGGGGTCGACCTCGTCGTCCTGGGAGGGGGCAAGAGCAGAGGCGTTAGGAGAAGGGCAGGGGCTGAGCAGACACGGCACCAACAGGGACAGCCGGAGGGGATCAGGCACGAGGCCAGGCCCGCTGCGGAGGCTCGTGCAGTCCTCAGCCGAAGCTTGAAGATGCCTGGCTGCCCCCTTAGCACCTCTTTGCCCTGCTGTCTCCTCACCCCTGCGGTTTTAGGGAGCCCAAATGCCCCATCCTGCCCAGCTCTGGGGTGGCCGTGGGGGGGGGGGGGG